CTATGTGGCACCTTGTGTGGTTTTATGGTGTATTTGTTGCTATTAACTCATGTGGCTCCAACAGCAAAATATTCTTGTGAATGCTTAAATCTCATTTCACTCACTGAGAATAAACGTGTAAATGTGTAAAGTCAAGGCCCATTGAATTCTAAGGTGACCCGAAACAGATGTTTCTGTTCAGTCTGTATCTGCAGAGACAATTCATCACTCATTTTGAATTTAGCCATGTAAATGCTGATAAAAGAGGCATTTACTTTTAAGCCAGTGAGCTCTCTTTTGCCATGATTGTCTATTTTAAACAATAAAATAATCCATCCATCTAACTGTTAATCCATAATAGTTCTGGGGTAGCTCACACTGAAAACTGGATTACTTGAAGTGTCTGTTTCCTACAGCCTTTTAGAGCTTTTCATGCTTTGGAGGGCTCTTTTTCCACCTTTTTCTCTTGTTTTTCCTTGAGAACAGAACCTGTAGAGATGGGAGAGGAGAAAGCTCATAAATGACATTTCAGTCACTGCTTAGTTTGACTGTCAGGTTTAGTAGAGATGGAGAAATGGAGACCATTTCTGAATTTCTTTTGTTAGAAACATAACAGAGAATGGTCTTACTTGATTGGTTCATGAAGGAAGAAGACTGATCTTTTTCCAGCTTTTTTACTGTACTGCAGCTTTTGCCTAAAAAGTCTGGATCCCTTCTGTTCATTTCAAGAAGCTGTAGTAAAATAAATGTTCAAGGATTGGCAGACTTCTTACAGATGATTTTAAATATTTCATTTGTCTCTGGTTTTGGTAGCACTGTTGAATACTTGATTATGTCAAAACAAGCACTTTTAGCTGATACTGAAAGATGCTGGCAACAAACACTGCTGCTCATAAATAGCCTTCTCTTTATTGTGCAGTTTTGAAGTCTTGAAGTAAATATGGTTATTTGAGTGTAAAAAGACAGATCCGGGAATATTGTATCAGCTGTGGTGAAAAAACCACTTTGTGCCCTATTTCCATATTGCTTGTTTAGAGTTAGCTACAAACAGGATGTTTACAGCATGCACTATTTAGGTGCACAGAGTATAATAACATATTATTTTCCATCTTAATAAATAGTTGGAGAAAGAGAAACTGACTTGAAGAACAAAATGCACAAACAAGCCCCCTGATTTCTAAGATGCTATCATGTACATGTCCCCTACTTGAAGTGGCTCTGGGTGCTGGATCGTCTCTCCATTTAGTGGTTGCATGGATGGGATGCCATATATTCTTCATACCCTTTCAAGGTGTTCACAGTTGAAAATGGGTGCAGGTAAAATATGAAGGAAATTCTTTATGAGAAAAGGCACATAGCCACATTAAGTAAGGAGGAGAGATTAAGGTAAATGCGAAAAAGAAAACGCAAGGCAATTCAACCAAAACAGGTTAGATCTTCATCACTGAGGCCCCCCCTTCTTAATAGCTAATATGATCCCAACACTCTTGCCTTACATATACATATACATATACATATACATATACATATACATATACATATACATATACATATACATATACATATATATTGCCTTACAACTCCCTTGCCATACATACCAGCTTGCCCATGTGTGATAGGAATATGCACAGTTGTACATTTTCATGCCTTGCAAGGGTGACTGGATATGTGCCTCTGTCACTGTTGGCCTCACAGTTGCCTCTCCATCTCTGTGTACAACCCTCCCTCTGGTCTTTTCTGGCACCTGTGCCGCCTTCTGAGCAGGTGAAGTGCCACCAGTATTCCCTCAGTCCCACAACTCATGGCCCACTAAATCCAGAGAGAACTGAGCAGTGGCTGCAGTAAGTCAGACTTTTGGCTCTGGAGCACAGGAAGGGGAAGGCTGTGCTCTTGGGCAGGGCACTGTCCAGTCCTCTTCTCCCATACAAATCTGTGTGGTGACTGAGAAAAATATTTAAAGCAGTTAATCTCATCCCAGAGGCAGGTAGCTACTGTCTTTTTTTCTGGGCTGCACGCTGCTCTAGTTATCTAAGTAGTGATGTTTTGTGTGTCAGATTGACTGGAAAAAGGAGTGTTGGGTATGTCCATGAGATGCATTGTGGCTACAGGGCAAATCCAGATTAGAGCTAATTGTGCCAGTCTTGCACTCAGTGCCTGAAATCAGACAAGCTTGACTGTCACTGCCTCCAGCTGAGTTCTGAAAAAGACACTTCTGCTAATTCCCAGAATGAAAGTAGGGGAGAAACACTGTTTTCTCATTAAAAAACTCTCAATGACCAATCCTCTAGCCTTCTTATTTTCTTTAAATATAGGGCTTTCCCTACATTTATACTATCAAATTTGGCAGGACATTATCTTTGTCCCAGAGAAAAGAGCTGAGTTTACAGCAAAGACGTGTTTTCCAGCCATCCTACATAAGTACCAATGTACTGGGTACAGTACTGGGATCAGTACTGGGAATACTGATCCCAGTGGGTCAGTATTTATTGTGCCATTTTAAATTGTGGTTTAGATCTTCTATGTATTTTAAAAGTATATATATACCTATCCTATATTTTCACATTCAGCTATTCTAGAACATTATTTGAATCTATTTTTTCTCATCACTCTCTGATGCTCTTCTATCAGCTGGATATCCAGGGAGGCATTTCCATTGGACTACTGAAAATACAGTGTAGCAATTGTGTTAAATTGTCCAGTAGTTTTAAAATAAGAAATAGAATTATTTAATGTTAAAATGTCTACTGCTTTCTCATGTGCAGAAGTATTATCTTTCTGTAGACTACATGAACTTGAGCTATATCTTGCTAGAGATCTTGCAGCATCTATAAACAGAAAAGTTTTAAAGATAACACCTTGTAAAGGTAGGCTGCAAAGCTGCAAAGGCAATGCAGTGTTTCATCAAAAGTGCATGGATAAATGTAGAACATGGTTTCAAAACTTCCCCTCCCAAGGAAACAATCTAAAGATGTGAAAACAGAAGGATATGTGCCAAAATCACACCCATAGTCCCTCCGCTTTTAGACATATTTTCTTTCTTTTTTATGATTTACATTTTATCTGTGCAGAGGGTAAACTCTTGCAAACTCCTCAAGACAGAGATATTCTCTAAACACAGAGGAAAAATGTATTGCCTGATGCTTCTGTGTATATTGAAGATCTTTAGCTGTGGATGCCATGGCTAAGTGGGGCTTTGCATTCCTTGATTAATATTTAACTTGTAGCATAGCTGCAGCTCACATGGAATCCTGGATTCTTCAGTCAGAGTAATTTCCCATTAGTCATAAAAAATTTAATTCAAATAGGCAATACAGGATTGGGCCATTATCTATTATTAATCCTTTTCTCAAACTAAAGTAATTAAGATATAAACAGGTTCCATTCTTAAAGAAAAAAAATAGTCCCAAGTCTTTTCAGAAAGGATGGATTTTATTTTGGAATTACCTTTTTGCAGAAAATCATTACAAAACTAGATGGGAAAAATAGTTCTAATTTTTGGGTAGACTAAGTTTGTGTTTGTTTTATTTACTTCTAACAGGAACATTTCCACTGAGACTCTGAGTAGAACCAACCATTCTAGAAGCCTAGAGTCATAGTTAACTAAAAAGAAACAGTGCCACCATATTATTTTGCCTTCATATGTACTTAGCACAGTCACTATATGTGTTTTTAACTCACAGCCTGATACATAACACATACATTATGCAAAAATACCTATACTGCAAAGAGGTAGGTAAAACTCTGACTATTTCCACTGCATTAGCATGTGCATATCATGTGTCAGGCAACAGATGACATTTGACTGGGGTGGTTGGTTCCACCTGTAACTGCGCTTTATTCATTTACAGAGTTATGCACATCAGCGTTCTTCATCAGCTTAAACCTATTCATTCTATTTTTTTTTTTTTTTTTTTTTTTTTTTTTTTTTTTTTTTTTTTTTTTTTTTTTTTTTTTTTTTTTTTTTTTTTTTTTTTTTTTTTTTTT